GTTTTGGGGCAGGGAGTCACCAGGCCCAGGGGTGCCGGGGCTCGGAGCCACCAGGCCCGGGGGGTGTCAGGGCTCAGAGCCCCAGGAAGCCCTGGCACAAATAAAGTAATGGCCACCCTGAATAATACCTATGTGGAGTCAGCACAACACTACAACAATGGCCAGGCTCTGGGTACAGAGAGCCCAAACCACTCCTGTTAAGAGTCTAGCTTCTGCCTGTCGGAGTCAGGAAGTGAACGGTGAAAGCCAGGCTAGGTGGCTAGCAAAGCAGTCATCCCTAGAGAGTGCCCACTGCTTCCACTGCCGTCAAGGGGATGTTTGTCTCTCTGCGGGTGAGAGAACAGGCCACCTCTGTGAGCTCACTGCTCTCATGTGTTTCAGCGAGCCACAGGGCAACAGTCATGCGGTGCACAGGGTTCCCAGTGTTCTGGTGTCTTCGGATCCAGGGGCGGTGGTGGCCCAGTACAGAAATAGGGCTGGCCAGAGATCCTGATCTGGATACAAATTTCTTCGGGTTCACATTTGTTTGGACCCTGTTATCATTTCAACACGCTACTTAATGCCCTACAGCAGCACATAAGATCATACATAAGATCATAAGAACATAAGAACAGCCAGACTGGGCCAGACCAAAAGTCCGTCTAGCCTGGTATCCTGTCTTCTGACAGTGGCCAATGCCCGATAGCCCAGAGGGACTGAACAGAACAGGGAATCATTAAGTGATCCCTCCCCTGTCACCCATTCCCAGCTTCTTACAAACAGAGGCTAGGGACACCATTCTTACCCATCGTGGCTAATAGCCATTGATGGATCCGTCCTCCATGAATTTATCTAGCTCTTTTTTGAACCCTGTCTTGCTTGAACCCAAGTGCTAATCACTTCTAGTCTTTAAAAATGCCAGGCAAAGCATGGGAGGTGTCACTCCCTCCGTCACAAGCAAATCCCAAGGTGGGATTTCCTGCTTCTCTAAACTTCCTGCTTCTCTAAAACCCCTCCCCATTCCAGTTAGACATTGCTTTCTTCTCTTCCTGACCTAAAATCTTGTTTAGTGTTGCTGTGCGCTGTTTAAACAGCTGCTACAATCCACCCCAGAGACAGCTGCATTTCAGTGGTGGGCAAAGTGATCCCACGCAGTTCATACATCTTTCAAAAGACACTGATGCCTTCTGCATGAAAGGTGATATTTACATGTACATTACTACGTATGAATATTTCATTACTCATGCCTCGTTTGCATTTACATTTTTGTGACTTCAAAAGAAAAAAAGCCCCACCTCATGGAAAAATGTATCAAATGAGTAGCAAGGACTCCAGAAACGTACACAGTTCTGAATGCATTATTTTGCTCTACGCCCTAGGCATTGTACCTGCCCTAAATCTCCCCAGACACTGGAGCAGATGGTGTATAATGCTGATGACTCTTGAACTATGGAGGCATGTCACCATCAGCAGTGTGATAACTAAAGCACAAAACAAAGAGAGCGGGTCAAACTATGCTATGAGTGCCATCAGGGCAATCCCGTGTGCCAATGTAACCAAAACCAGAGGGTGGCTCAGGTTGTTTTAAAGAGCATCAATGGATAAAAGTGTTGCATAGCTCACAAGGTGTCTCCTTTCATATCTCCTGGCTAATGCAGGAGTGTTCCCAGTAGGGATTCACAAGCCACCATGTCACTCTGAGCCATGTCTGTCAGGTTTGGGTTTAATTCCTTCACCAGCCCTGGGATCCAGCTGCCAGCGCTGTGAGGAGATCCCATGGTCACTGAGTCAGTTCCCCCACCCCAAGAAGTCCTGGGGGCAACAATCTGAGCGATCGGCTCAGATACCAAGCTGCTCTTCCCAAGGGGGTAGATCCAGCACGAGACACAGGCTCTGGTGGTGCAGCTGATATGGGCAGAGCTTAGGGCTAGGGGCGGGGCGTTTCACATGGGCATTGCCAATGGCTGCAGGAGCCTGCACTCACCTGGATCTTCCTCCACTGCCCACGCTGCAGAGCTAATCACCTCAGTCCCTGGATATTCGCAGGGAGCAAAGGGAAGGAAATCAGTTATTTGGGCCGTGCCAGCTAGAGATTCAGCGGAAAGAATTTCTCCTCACCTGATTGGCTTGTTCAAGGTTTGTCATGATCATTGCTACTTCATCTGCCCTGAGACAGCAAAGCAAAGCAAAAACACAAAAAAAACAAAACAAAACAACAATTAATTGGCAAGCAGTTGAGCATCTCTGCACACATTCCATTGTGTTCAACAATAAGCCAGGTGGATTTAAAAAAAACAACTTAATTGAAATATGACATTTGAGCCATCTGTGTGCAATATGCATAATGCAGCCTTGCAAAACTGTCATGGAAAAGTTCTGACCTAGAGCCCAAATCTTCGTGCCTGTCCTGACTGTGATGCTGCAGACACATGGATAGATCGGCAGATGAAGAAAACACTAAAGCTATTTGACTCACCCATCAAAAATAATATTCCCAGGGCTCGACGAATCTGTGTATCTACTCTCCCATGGTGAGTACATTTCAGCCGGTCGCCCCGTTCACTGGTGGTGCACACATGCACAGTGCCGGTCTGGCACCTGCACAGTGTGGGGCTGGTGAGTGGATTTTGCTGTGGTTTGTCAAGCCCTGAATATTCCCATATCATCACAGTGTTCCCTGCAAGCTGTGCGGTGCTGTGGCCACTCAGGAGAGATTCAAATGCTACCCACCTGATGAGCAGATCACCCATAGCTAGGTTTTGTGTGAACGTAACAAAATTTATTCTGCACATGGATGGAAAAAAATCCGCATACGGATGAACAAGAGTAGAGGGAAAATTGCCTGGCAAGTGTAATTTTGTTCCTCAAACGGGCCAGATTGATAGTCCTGACCATCTGTCTGCTGATATCCACAGGTCAGATACAACATGGGCAGCAATGATGCTAACTCCCCACACCACCTGCCCATGTTGGATCTGGAATGACCACCCGCCAGGGTTAACAGGAGTTCTGCCTCTGCGACCCAGACAATCCTTAGTTTCTCCGCTAGACCCCCAGCAAGGTGGCGGTTCATGCCAGTTGTGACATTAGCATTATAGAGTGAGCAACTGTCCATGAGCACCTGGCCACAGGCCACCCCCACTCATTTCATGCAGGCCGACAAAGAATCCCAAGATGGGAACACTTTTGGGTCACTAGCAAGTCATGCCCATGTGCAAGATGGTAATCGCGACATGAAAGGCTCCTTCTCCCACTGCCGGTTCTCTGAGCCACCCACTGCCTCTAAATGACTTTCCCCAAAGGCCTCTTTATCTTGGGTTATTTGTCAATGAGGAGCCTTTGCATCTGTGTAATTGCTTCCCACTTGCTATTTTGCCAGCCGTGGAGAGCTGGCATAATGCCTCTGTACAGGGCACTGGATTTATTTATTGTAGGAGGGTCAAAAGCTGAAGTTTCTAATTTGTGGTCTCCAGTCCCGGCTATGCAACATTCAACGGCTGGCAAATTAACAAAATATAAACAAGCTGAATGAACCCAACCGGGGGAAGTCCAAAATGTGCCTCCGAAAGATGCAAAGATACCAAGGGATGGGACCAAGCCAGTTTTCATCCCTATCATTCTGTGCATGGTGGCTGCGATGCTGATCAAAGGCAACATTCATTACAGCACTGCGTGTACAAAATGGCATCTAAAATGGTATCTCAAATTATCAAAGAACATCTGCTTGGGAATGATATGATTAAGTGTTCTGACTGGGGTGCATAATAGGAATGAGCGGGCACGCCTGTGTGCGTGCGTGTGTGATGAGGATGTGTGAGTGAGACTGGTGGAACATTTGAACAGCTGTAAATGCTTGGCAGCTTCCACGGCTAGCAAGAGCCGACGGGAGGGAAAAGATGTTCCTGACAAAAAAAAAAATAACAAGCCAATGTACATTTAATGAAGCGGAGGAGCCTGTTAAATATAATCCAGCAATCGTACTCTCCCCCCTGCCGCTAGAAGGCAGCTCAAGATATATTTGTACATCTGGAAGTGGTCCTGGGAAGGCCCAGAGGTTTTAAGGAAGAACTGATTTTAGCTTATGATTATAATTTCTGAAACTGCAGGGAATTTGCCTTTAGACCTGAGCTTTTGGTCCCATCCATTAGAAGAGAGAGGTGCTAGCTACAAAGTCCAGATCTGCAAGTCTTTGCTGAAGACAGAGGGCATTTGGATCTGGGGTCTTATTAGCAGCACATCTCTAGCAGAAAGCCTAGGAACCTTCACGTCCCACCTGGGACTGGTGAAGCAGCCCTTTGGAAGCCACTCTCTTAGATGGTTGATACTGCACCTGAAATCCAGTCTTTGCTTTGAGAAGTCTGACCCTATTCTCAGTGCCTGCTTGCAGCATCTATACCATGACACCCACTGCTATCCGTGGACATGTGGGTGCAGCCAAGAGGCGTAGCGAGGATTAGAACTTAGTGCTCTGTCATTCCTGTTCTTATGTTCAAACCATCAGGCCACATCTTGGAGCCTGGCTGCTGATGATTGTGAAACCACACAGCCATGACATCTTCATCATCACTCAGGTGCTTGTGAAAATGGCCCAGATCTCTGGAGAGACACCAGACTCAGAGGCTGTGTCTACATTGGGATCCCTTTCCGGAAAAGGGATGCTAATGAGACACTTCGGAATTGCAAATCCGCTGGGGATTTAAATATCCCCCGCGGCATTTGCATTTACATGGCTGCCGCTTTTTTCTGGCTCGGGGTTTTTGCCAGAGAAAAGCGCCAATGTAGACGCGATTCTCCAGAAAATGAGCCGGAATAAGGGATCTTCCAGAAAAGGGCTTATTTTCCGGAGAATCGCGTCTACACTGGCGCTTTTCTCCGGCAAAAACCCCGAGCCAGAAAAAAGCGGCAGCCATGTAAATGCAAATGCCGCGGGGGATATTTAAATCCCCTGCGGATTTGCAATTCCGAAGTGTCTCATTAGCATCCCTTTTCCGGAAAGGGATGCCAATGTAGACACAGCCAGAGAGTGTGGAATATTTTGCTGAGAGCTGATTAGTGTTTGTTGCATTGGTCTCAGATATACCGCCCCACCCCAATGAAGGCGCTTCTTTTGGGACCAGAAGCCATGGCTGTCTAGCAAAGTGATGCTGCTTGGAAACTTTTAGCTCTGTTGTGGCTTTTTCAGTCTATGTCTAGACTGCAGGCTTCTTTTGGAAGAAGCTTTTCCGGAAGAGATCTTCTGGAAAAAACAGCTTTCAAAAGAGAGCAACCACACAGCAAAAGCGCATCTGCTTGTTCAAAAGATTGTGTCCAATCAATGTGGACGCTATCTCACATTTAAATTGTGATTACTATGGACAGAGCGGCCATCAGGGACCTGTGCTTTTTCCTGGAGACATCTTCTTTTGAAAAAACACCCTCTTCTCCATCCACACATGCCTTTTTCTGAAAGCTCTTTTCGAAAAAGGCTTCTTCCTCGTAGAAAGTGGTTTACCACTGTTGGAAAAACACACGTGTTCTTTCGACTTTCTGTCAAAAGAACGCAATTGCAGTGTGGATGTAAATGTAGTTTTTCCAGAAAACCAGAAAAACTCTGCAGTGTAGATACACCCTCACTCTGCTCTGGTGGTGAATGGCTGGATTAAATGCATGCGGAGTTTTCCAATTGCATTGAATTAGTACAGATATCCCTCTTCATCCCCCACATCTGTCCCTAGCACGCAGCATGGCCAGAGGATGGGTAGGACTGCCTTTTTGGAGATCACAGGCTGTTGGAGGAAATAAAATGCTGAGTAGGTGCAATTTAGGGTAGCCCTGAGGCTGCTCTCAGTTGTGGTGGGGGCTGGTTGGTGGAGAAGTAAAGTTTGTATGAAGTCACATTTGCCCTGTACAGAGTAGAGATTGGTTAGAACTGAGGATCTAGCCTCCAGAAAGGTGGAGACAGTGGCATATATGTAGGTCTCCACCACGCAGGTCTGTATCCTGGCAAACAGCTGGCTATTGATATTTTGGAATGGGTTTAAATGGTTAGCTCTGCCACACAGTGCAATGCCTCGCCATCTGGAGCACGTGGGATAACGAACTTTGTTCCATCTGGGCCTCTCTTGGCACATTCCATGTGCAACATGAAGGACAGGCCCTCCTCAAAGGCTGCAGCTGGACGCAATGTCTCTGCTTGGACCATGCGCAATAGACAAAACAGAGTGACTTACTTTGAAGCTGCTTCTTCATCATATTTACACCGTAGCTCAAGCAGCTCTGTCTGGGTGCCCTTTAGTGCTGACCAGATGGAAAATAAAACACCAAACAGTTAGTAACACCCTTCTCTTGGAAGAAGATTGACCTGTGGCTGATGAAGCATCGCCTGGTTGGAAGGTGGCTCCAGCAGCCTTTGGCAGGGTACCACTTACCCCTGGGTTCTGCTGCCGTCCCACTGTATATTGTTTTAATTTTTATGACAACGGATGCAAAACCAAGACATTTATTTGCAACGGATGCAAATAAAGACAAGGAAACCAACAGTCTTTAAAAATAAAGTCACCAAGTTCAGAGACTTTAGGAGCAGTTAATAGATTTTCGACCCAAGCCTTTTTGGAGCTCCCAAAATGTTCAATTAGCTTTTATGTTGGTAGTGAAGGGATGAACTTTTGTCATGCACCAGGGACTTTCTGGGTTCCTGACAGCAGCAGAAATAGAGTGCAAGAGCCAGAGAAATTAAACCTGGAGAGATCTAATAGGCCCATTCCTTGCCCTACCATACAGGGCGAGTCATCAGCTGCAGTGACCCAAAGTCACTCTGCTGGAGTTAATGGAGCTGCATTGATTTATCCCAGCTGAGGGTCTGGTCCTTTCTCTCCTAGTTCAGTATCCACAGTAGTTTTCACTTCCCAGGGGAGATCTGAATCTTATACTCCCAGAAAGTTATTCCTGGTAAGGGCCCAGAGAAGCCAATGGGAGTGTAGCCATTGGCCTATGAAGGGCCAGTTTTCCTCCACATAATTTCACCCTGTTCTCCTGGCTGTGCCCCTTTGTACCACCCTGCCCCACTCATCTCCCTCTGTGGCACCCAGATCTTCTCCCGTCTTCTCCTCTCTTCTCCCTCACATGACCGGAGCCCAGCCAACGGCTGTTTAAGACCTTTAGCAACTGCTTTTCTGGCCCAGTTTTCCCTTCCTCCGGAACCACAGCCCTGCACGTTTCAAACCCAGGACATTTGTGGCCTATGCCAGGCAGAAACAGAGCAGCGCACTGCAGGACAGATGTCCCGAGTGTGTCCATGCCACAGAGACAGCCTGGGCAGCATGGCAGGGCAGAGGGACATGCCAACATTTGCTCACCCGCTGCTAGGCAGCTACCAACAACAGACTACAGGCCAGCTCTGTGCATGGGGAACACAGGAGTGCACCAAAGGCCACTCCAGGCCAGTGTAACACGCAGGCTCAGCAGCTCCCTGTCTGCAACCCTCTGTGGCAGCAGAACCAGAGTGGGAGCAATTTCCCGCTCTGGTCAGGAGACTCTCGGGGGCAGGCACTCAGCCTGTGGGGTCTGTAAGTCCTTGGATACAACTAAGTCAATGGAGTCACACTGGCCTAGAAGCAAGACCACTGGCTGGGAGCCCAGGAGAGCTGGATAATATCCCTCAGTCTGTTGCTGGCCTGATGCATGAAATGGAGAATGTCACGCCCCTCTGTGCCTCAGTTTCTCCACTGGTAAAATGGGGATAATGACTAAGGATGTGAATGGTTTAACTGGAAGGGACCGGAGCAGCTTCCCATTCTCCATGGGCAGGGAGCTGCTCCAGTACCACGGGATCCACTGCAGGCAGGGGCTGCTCCATCAGCCAGCCAGAGCAACCCTTGTCTGTTACTCCAGCCCAGCTGTGGTAAGTAGGGCAGGGAGGCCACTCCAGCCCGGTGAGGCTGAAGCACCTCCTGTGCCCGCCCCCCCTTTAATTGGTTAACCAATTAAACAGGATTTTACATCCCTAATAAAGACACCGGCTTCCTTTGTAAAGCCCTTTGAAAGCCGGTTCCTACAGACATCTGCGAGACTCTCTCAGTTTACTGAGGGTTGGATCCAATATGGCTCTTCTGTAGTTCTCAGCTCAGCCCCCCTTCTTCCCTGTGCAGCAGGGAGCCCATGCTGGTGCTACAGCCTTACAGCCCACTGCAAGATTAGAGCACCAGCGCCGGCTTCCTGCAGGGAGAAAGCCGCACGATAGCTAGAAACAGCTGTGCACTGCTGCTCCCCACCTCCTCTCCCAGCTGGGGGAACAGCAGCACGCTGACGTACTTCCTGAAGGCTTTCCCTGCTGCTCCAATAGCGGGGAAAGCCTCGAGTCCCTGGGAGCAGCACGTGGCACAAAAACAAGTAAGTGCCCTCCTAGCCCCTCATGCCCAGACCCTGCACCCCCAGTGCCTCACACACATCTTCCTACGCCAAGACTCTGCACCCTCAGTCTGCTCCTGCCCCCTCCCCCTGGCCAGACAACCTACTCCCCGTCTGCTCTTGCACCTTTTCTCCCACCCAGATCTGGCACCCTTATCCCCTCCTACACCTCACCTGGTCCCCTGACAGTAAAGGCCAGACAGGTGGGATGTGCCTCTCCTGAATATTCTCCCCGTGGCATGCACATGTGACTCCTGACTGCTCTGCCAGGAGGGCTGTGATGTCCGTGCATCCAGGGGAGAAAGAGCGAAGCACCACTGAGCTGCACCCATGTCTGGATCTACTGAGTTAGAAGGGAAAGCGGAAGGAAGCCAGGGCCTCAGGAACCCAGCCGGGGAGGGACTTTTTGACCCTCGCTCTTTCCATACCTGCATGTAGCACTTTGATCTTCTCTTCTGCTTCCCCCAGCCTAGCTGCCAAAGTGATTTGTGCTTCCTGTAGTCCCCTGTGGAGAGAAGGGCCAGTATCAGTTGTCACTTTTGGGGCCTGGGATGAGGCCTTCCACCTGCCATGATGCCTGGATCTGAGGGGTGAAAGTGATTACCAGGACTTACCGGTATGCCAGGGTTCTTTGCAAGGGGTGGGGGAGGGTGGTTCTGGGCCCTAGAAGGGATGGAGCCTCTGGCAGATGGGGTGCACTGAGGCCAGTCCCCACCTTGTGTGGTCACCACTGCCACAGTGGCCAGTAGCCTCAAGGCTGCGGTAGCCAGGTGCCCTGGGCCTTTTTAAATTGCCAGGGCCCAGGGCAGCTGCCTCTTTTGCTCTGGGTAGAGTCTGGCAGTGCTGCCGATGGGGGGAGCAAATTGCATACTGTGGCAATGCTTTAACATCAGCTATATATGCGCCGTCACTAATGGCTGGTTCTTACTGGTACTGTGTACTGGTCTGTATCAACCCACTCTCACCTCTGGCTCTCAGAGACAACCAAAGTCTTTCCCCAGGGAGTGCATGAAATAGCTCAGCTTCATTCACATCGTGCCATCGATCTGCTAATTTATCTTTCTTATCAGGTACTTTAAACCCCTCATTCAGAAGTTTCCCTAGAAAATTTATATGCCTACTGCAGCCGAGACATTTTCATACCACTAGAACTGTCCGCATTTCCATTAAAAACCTCTATTTTCAGGGGTTTATAGCCCTGGCTGTAAAAAATTCACTTCAACCTGAAAAACCTGGCATGATGGATCTTAGCCCAGAGATAAATTTCTTTACAAAAATTGGTTAAAAGAATGCAAGATCTACCCATAGATAAATGAGAGAGAGAGAGAGAGAGAGAGAGAGAGAGAGAGAGAGAATTAATCCATTTGGCTATTTTGGTGTTCCTTCAAGATTGGAAATGAACCAGAAGGGAGTACAGGCCATTAATGGATTCCTTCACTCTGCTAACACATGCTTCAGACCCCAAACACTATTGTTGCAGACACAGGGGCTGTCCAAGCACAATCCATTGGAAGAATCAGGAGGAATTTGCACTGGACAGACTTTGCAGCCATCCTCACTGCAGACCTAGGGGAATGGCACAGCTCCATGCTGTGGTTGACATAACCGAACTTCCAGGCTCTGAAGGATTGGTCACCACTTCTTGGCTCCGTTACTTGCAAGTGACTGCTCACAGCTTGTGAGCGCCTCCAGAAGGCAGGTTTTCAGGAATTCTCTCCTCACACACGTAACTGGCCCGGCCTGTACTGTGCACATTGACAACAGTGAGCAGTCAGTGTAATCTCTGTGCAGAGAGAGACAGCAACTGTGGAGTTTCTCCACTGGAGCAGCAGTGATGTATTAGCAAACACTCGGCCATATTGTCGTCTCGACTCTGGGGTGCCCACGAGTGGCTGGGGGAGGAACCTGGGGGGAGGAGCAATGTAAGCACCTCTTCCCAGTACCTGAACCCACTGGCGTTGGTAGAGGCAGTCATCTGGGACAGCTCCCGGTGTGCCGCCGGTCCCCAGCAAATCTCCAGGAATTAACGCTGAGCCAGACACCTGGGAGATTTTGCTCTGAACTTTGCAAGCATTTCCTGGGAGGTGGAGAGAATAGGGCCTGTGCATAGGCACAGGTGCGGAGACCATGGCAGCTCAGCTCTGGTGGGGCTGGCCTGGAAGCAACAAACTGCCTTCCCCTGCCTTGCAGGAATCCTGCCGGTCCCCAGCAAATCTCCAGGAATTAACGCTGAGCCAGACACCTGGGAGATTTTGCTCTGAACTTTGCAAGCATTTCCTGGGAGGTGGAGAGAATAGGGCCTGTGCATAGGCACAGGTGCGGAGACCATGGCAGCTCAGCTCTGGTGGGGCTGGCCTGGAAGCAACAAACTGCCTTCCCCTGCCTTGCAGGAATCCTGTAGTAGCAGAATAGGTTGGGGTGAGGGAGATTTTTAAAGGGGAACACACTATTGAGAGAGCACACTGAGATGGGGCAGGCCTCCTCTGTGCCTACTGTGCTTGATGGGACTCCATCAGTAGCAAGAGCTACTGGTAGGGTTGCCAGATGGTTGAAACAAAAATACCGAACACTCCCCCCCCCGCCTCAAAAACAAACAAACAAACAAAAAACACCAGGAAAAAATTCTGTTGAAGGGGAAAAAAAGGGGGAGGGGGAGAGACCAAAGCTGTGGAGCAAAAAAAAATTTTTTTTTTAAATAAAACAGCATTAAACAGCATGTCCCCTTTAAGAGAAAGTGCAGGGAGAGGAACAGGGGAGCAGTTAAGCACTTTTTAGGTGTCTGGTATTCTCTGAATTTTTTTACCGGCCAGGAGGTGAAAATATTGGACTGTTCGGGTGAATACCAGACACCTGGCAACCCTAGCTATGGGTGGCCCACATTTTTAGAAGCCACTGGTTTTGGGGGCCTTCCAGGAGCCCTTCCAATGCCCAGACTCTCATAGAGATTTAGGCATTGAGCTGTCTCAGTCTCCATTCCTTGGAGGATCTGGGCCGAAAGGCCTAATTTCCAGAAGCACCAAGCAATCTCGACTCCCAGCGAAGTCTCTGTGAACCAGGCCCAGGCCAGGTTAGACAGATGAGGCAGTGTGCCTTGCAAATCATCCTCATCTCCTGGAGTTGCATGGGGCAGGACTGGGTTTATTTGAGAAGACAGTAAGAAAATCCAAAGTGGATGCATCTTTCAGGTTATAAGTGAATCACACTCTGAAGCATCTTCTGACAGTAAGAGGGGAAAAATAAGCCCCTTCCCAAAAGTAAGCTGAGGTGGGGAAAAATCAATAAGGCTACATCTAGACTGTTGCGCTTTTCTGGGATACTGGAGGTATCCCAGAAAAGCAATGCTGTGTCCAAAGCACACGTCAGCTTTTTCGAAAAAATTTTCAGAAAAGCAGACGCGCTTTTTTGCCATCCCTGTAAACCTCATTATATGAGGAAGAAGGAATATGTCGAAAGAGCAGATTTTTCTGAAATATAGCACCGTGTGGATGTGTCAAATTTTGGAAAAGCCTCTTTCGACGGAAACGTGGAAAAAGATACGCAAATTGCAGTTTGCATTTGCGTATATTTTTCCGACTTACCTTTGTAGTCTAGACGTAGCCTAAGGGAAAAGTGATTTTGCATTATGTGTTTGGCAGGATCTTCCTCCAAAAGAAGGGCGGATTTAAAGATGCATTAACAGGTGTGTTGTGAGCAAGACATGAGAAGTCATTCTCCCACTCTACTCTTCCCGGATTAGGTCTCAGTTGGTGTCCAGTTCTGGGCACCACATTTCAAGAAAGATGTGGAGAAATTGGAGAAGGTCCAGAGAAGAGCAACAAGAATGATTAAAGGTCTAGAGAACATGACCCATGAAGGAAGGCTGAGAGAACTGGGCTTGTTTATTTTGGAAAAGAGAAGATCGAGAGGGGACATGATAGCAGTTTTCAGGTATCTAAAAGGGTGTTACAAGGAGGAGGGAGAAAAATTGTTCTTCCTGGCCTCTGAGGATAGGACAAGAAGCAATGGGCTTAAACTGCAGCAAGGGAGGTTTAGGTTGGACAGCAGGAAAAACTTCCTAACTGTCAGGGTGGTCAAACACTGGAATGAATTGCCCAGGGAGGTTGTGGAATCTTCATCTCTGGAGATATTTAAGAGTAGGTTAGATAAATGTCTATCAGTGATAAGGGCAGGGGACTGGACTTGATGACCTCTTGAGGTCCCTTCCAGTCCTAATAGTCTACGATTCTATGATTTGTTTATCAGCCCAGTGTGCTAAGGAATAACAAGAAAGTCCCTTTAAAGAAGCCTTTGGTAAACTTTGAACTGTCACAACTGAAAGGCCATTTAAGAATGAGTTTTATCTACTGCCTTTATCTGATTCCTCTGAGCAAAACACCATAAGACCGAAAGATACCAATGGTGATTGCTGTGTTTTCTGTCCCTTGAGAAAAAACAATCTCCTAGCTCTAGGAATGATGGAACAAAGAACACCAGGGCAGCAGGCTCAGCTGAACATCCATCCATTCAGGTTCTTAGATTAGCACCCAGCATGCGGAAGACAAAAGACCATCAGAATCAACAGCGTCTTGGTTTGAGTGGCTGCAAGGTGGGCCTGAGGTCAGATTAACTTTTTAAAAGCACACTTCTCAGGCGGGTCAACCCTCACCACAGAACATCAAGGGTCACATTTACAAACACAGAGGAGTAAATTGCCATGGAAAATATTCCTGTGCACAAAACTACAACAGAGGATGTGCAAAATACAACATGTAAACACACACGCGATCCTGTATTCACAGCGTACAAACGTGTCTCTCACTCAGACAGGTCTTGCCAAAGGGCCTCTCTCCCAAGGCCAGCATAGGCATCTTTTCCACCAGGTGTGTGCTGCCAGAGAGCCTGTGAGGTGAGAAAACCTGGGTACCAGAAATAACGGGGGAAGAACCATTCCCCTTGCTCAGTCTCCAGAGCCTCATTTTCCCTGGGTGACTGGCCTGACTTAGCACTAGCCCTGGGACAAATGGTCCAGTGACACCAAGGTAACTCCAGAGCCACTCTGCTGCTGTCTGTGCTGGGGCTGCCAGGACTGACACCTAGGGGATTAGGATGCCCAAAGCATTCATTAATGTGAATAAGAAATAGGAATCTAAATCCCTTAGGCAGCTTTGAAACTCAGGCCATAGGAGTGAGTCCAGCCATTATCCTCTATCACACGGGAGACAGTTAAGATAGTGAGGAAGAGCAGTGGGTGGTGAACCAGGCCTGGTGTAAGACAGCTTATTTGGGCCCACTGTTGCCAGAGCAGGACATGCAAACTTCAGCCCAGCTTGCAAGGGGGAAGAGCAGTGAATAAATGCTAGGCAGGAGAGAAAGTAGCTTAGGATGGATAGCTGGAGCTGTATGATGAACTATTCAGGAGACGGACAGATAGAGGGGCTTGTATGCGGACAGACGGATAGACTCACATTTCAACGCCATGCAGGTCTAAAGCATATTTACTTTTTGGTTTTAAGGACCACCCCTTGCTACTCACGTACTTCTGTTTTTCAGCTTCATTTCTCTGCAACAAGGTGTCTGTGAAAAGTGCTTTGCTGTTGATGCTTGTGAACTTGGCAGTCTCCAACCCGGCGAGACCAGCTGGAGATGTTCCCCCTCTTTGCTCTGCGGGGGAGGGAGAAAAATTCACATAAGCAGCAGGACAGAAGTGAAGAAAATCAGCCGCTTCTTCCAGGGGGCAAGAGCTCAATCTCAGGGGGTAAAGAATCGATTTCCAGAACTGAAGCTACTGAGTTAATACATTCTGCAGATTCCGCTGGTCATTGGTGTAAAAGAATCACAGCAGGGCATGAAATCCAGAGTGCTGCCAAAGCGGCAGCTTCCTGGCTAGGTTATATCTGCTCATCATCTCATTCTAACCACTTCAGCTCCGAGTGGTGGCAAGGTCTGTAAATGACCAGCAAAGCCGTCTTAGCTACACAACACTGCACCTCCAGCCTGGAGCACAGCATGCCTGCATTAAACCAAGCTTCTGCATAAAAAGCTCTCAGAGCTCAAGACCCATCATTATTTACATCCTGTGTGGCTGCAATTTTCAGGTGATTTGCGAGGGAGAGGGGGGAGGAGGAGAAGAGATGAAAGACTGTAACTTTCTGGGTTACAGCATCGGACACCACGAGTCTTCAGACTCCTGTGTACACAAGTGGCTGGAATAATTTTGGTTCTTGATAAAAATGTTTTTTTTCCAATTGGTCAAAACCAAAAATGTTTGTTGAAAGGTCAATGAAACTTTTAGGGATGTGAGATTTTTGAGAACCAGGATGGTATTTCTGGTCAAAACCAGAGAGCAAGACACACATCTCCAGCAGGCCGCTGGCTAAGCATGCATGGGAGTGGAGGGAGATTGGGGGGAGGAGACCCAGCCCATAAAGTGAGTCTCTTCCTCTGTGGCCCAATGAATATTTAATTATTCCTTTTACAAAGTTGAGCAGCTCCAGTTTCATCACCTGCTGTAAGAGGAAGGACAGGAACTCACACTAGGGATGTAAAATACCAGTTAACCAGTTAAACATTATGTTTAACCGCTTAACTGCTGACCTAGGTTCGCGCCGAGGGTGGGGGGTCATTGCTTCAGCTGGGCTGGGCCCATCATGCTGTGGACAGCTGAGCGGGAGCTCTCCCTATCATGGTATGGTGGGCTTGGCCGGGCTGGTGCGCCTCCCACCCGCAGCATGGTCGGCCCAGCGAGGATGGAATACTCTTTGTCCACAGCAGGGTGGGCATGGCCGGGCCACCAGTTAACCAGTTACATCCCTAACTCAAACTTCTATCACCCACTTCCCAGGTAAGTGCTGGCAGGAGGTCAGGCTCCCTATAGTTCTTGTTCTTTTACATGTTTTGTTGCATGCTCAAGAGTTTGTTCCAATGCAAAAGGAAATCAGATGTAGAATTCTTGTTTTCCTTGCCAACACTGCTGAGCACCCTCCCAGACCTAGAGCACCCTGCAGGATCTGGCTCCGTCATCTCAAGCCCTGCAGTGGCAGTGTCTCGGCCTAAAATGGTTTGCACGCCAAACGCGGCAGTACTGAGAACCTGACGGAAACTGACAGCAGCCAGCTCTGAAAGTGACCTCCTACATTTCCAACAGGCAAAACACTAGACAGGCTGCTGGAAGAGCTAAATAAGCTACCTGGGCCAGTTCAGGCTTTTTTATGGCTGTAAAGGTCATAGGTGTCCTTAGTGAAACAAATGTTTGTTGAAAATACAAGGCCAGATCCTTAGCTGGCACCAGTCAGTACAGCTGCCTTGCCTTCCATAGAGCTATGTGGCCTAGTGGACAGAACACTAGACTGGGACAAGGAAAGCTGGGTTTGATTCCTGGCTCTGCTACTGGCGTGCTGGGTAACTGTGGGCAAGCTATTTCTTCTCTCTGGGCCTCAATTTCCCCATGTGTAAATTGGGGCTAGCAATGCTGACTCCTCTGTGAAGTTATTTGAGATCTGCTGCTGAAAAACCCTGTGTAAGTGCTAGGTGTTCAATATGACTAACTTACACCAGGCGAGGAACTGGTCCCTGATTTTTATACTGACCATCCCTTTAAAACTAAGTCCCAATGTTAATGATGTTGTCGCTAATGAATATTCATTAGAATTCTTGCTCTTTTTCTCCACCCTTGGTGATTGCAGAAGGGCCCTCAGTGAAGTCCCGCATTGGCGGAGAAAGACATGAGCACACAGCATTATTGCAAAGAACCGGGAACTACAGGGGGCTCCCCTAGATAAGAACTCGGCCCTGTCGCACCAGAAGCGGAGAGAAAATTCAGATGAAAGCAATTAAAGGCCATTGGACTGACAAGCCTTCATGAGGGCTGCCCCGTCCCTGTCAAGGTGATTTGCGGGTGCAAATCAGCACCGTCCCTATCAATGTTGAGGATCAGGTCCCTGGACTTTGGGGAGGCAGAGGGCACCCAATAACGCGCTGGAGGTACACAGGATCAGGCCCTTCCCTGACATGTTTTCCAACAGAACAAGCCTTCCACAACTCTCAGGGGGTTTCCAGGCTGGGGATGGGGGATGATTCAGTGACAGGCATATGCCAGCATGGCCTGCACCTGTCAAACCAGCCCCCCAAAGCCGCTCCTCCCTGGGCAGAGAGAAGCACCGATTGATTTGCAGTGGATCCCAGCAGGGACCCACGGTACAGGGAGGGAGGGAGGTGCAGGGAGCTCAGCTCTGGGGATCGGCTGGCCTTCCAGTCTCGGCTTTCACTTGGGCTTGGGGACGGGGAGAAATGCACCATGGAAGGGACCAAGCCGGTTTGGAGCAAAAGCCCATGATACTGCTCCAACCCTGGAAATGCTGAGCTGGCCTAGCCCGGGTGACCAAGGCCTGAAGCAAAGCACAGGGAAGTTTCCCCCTCTGCCCCAGAAGGCAGAGTGCCCTGTACCCCAAGCCCCTTTATGTGGGCAGGGCACAGGGTGGATGGTTTGCCCCATACAAGAACTAAGGAGGTTATTATATGACCCTGCTGAAAACTCTCCTAGAGGCTGCAAAGGCCTCTGCTGGCGTCAGTGCTGGAGTCAGGGACATGGTCCTGCTGGCCGGTGCCGAGGAGCTCCGGAGGCTTCTTCCGCTGCCTGTTGAGCTCCTTCAGGGGTGGGTTCTCGGGGTCAGGGCACTGGAGCTGCTGCAGCCTCTCTTCTAAGCTCTCCTCCACCTCCAGGACAGGAACAGGGTCTAAAGAGGAGCAAGGTGACAAGGTGAGGGGCAGCAGCTGGCAGGGAGCCGCCCCCATGCTGTCTGGGAGCAATGCAGCTGCTTACAGCCTGGATCAGAGCCTGCACACACCGGGAGGGACTGCAACCAATGAGCAACTGTTCCTTTGCCATCTGCATCCTGGGAGCATGGGCCTCCCTCAGCAGCCAGCTGAGCTGGGCTGTAATGCCCCAGGCTGCATGCCCTACACACCCACGTTTCCAACTCACCATGGAAGGCAGGATGGGTTGCCTCTTACAAACTCCTTTTCTGACTTGCCCAGAGTGCATGCTGCAGCCACCTTCCTCAATGCTAGGGACCAGAGGATGCTCTTGGCTATACCTGCATCAATCCAAGGTGACTGCAGCTAAGTCAATGGATCTGCTCTGCATATAGGCCACTATTTTGACAACCTGATTGCCTCAGTCACCTATGAATTGTGCCCATATGGCACATGCACAAATCACCATCTAGGCCAGTGGTTTTCAAGCTACGGGTGGCACCCGGCACAGGATGGTGGAATGCCGGGTGCTGGGTCTCATGGCTGCAGGAGGATCAGGCAAGCGGTGGGGGAGCTAAGGCAGCTCCCTGCCTGTCTTGGCACCACAGACTGTGCTGCGGCCCAGAAGGGGCCGGGCGCAGGGCCCG